TGAAAATCATCTCTATTTCTATAATATGTTTTCCATTTTATCACCTAAGACCATGAAAACGCGAATACAACGATAAATACTATACGAAAATACACCTCAAAGTCGGCGTTTTATTCCAAAAAAACGATCAGTTTTTTTTTTCTCATTACGCAATGTGTGCTGCAGGATTTTTTTTATGTGGTGCACACTGACCACACAGACCCATTCTCTCACATGTGGGCCTACCAGCTTTCTCCCACTTGATTTGAAGCCGCTAGAATTATTGAGTATAATGTATATACGTCAGAAACATTGGCTCGTAAGACGTATTTATACGTCGAAAACAGTCAAAGGGTTAAAGATGTATGCAAGCACATGCTGTCTCACTTACACATTTGTTATAAACCACTTATCACATCCCATTTTTATTATGTATACTACTACATAATTCAAAGATTTAAACATTTATTCAGTTTTCTTTCCACAGTTATTCATTAATTATCACTGCTACATATATGTGAATTTAGCACTTTTTTATAAGTACAGTGGTACCTCGGGATATGAACTTATTTCAAATGCTGATACCGAACGAATTTGTTCCCATAAGGAATAATGTAAATTGGATTAATCCGTTGCAGCCCACAAAAATACATTTACAAAAGCACTTACATAAACACACTTACATAATTGTTATTGTTTTGAGCTATTCGTATCCCAAGGTAGCACTGTATTGCATAATACTATAATAATAATAATACTCCACTGGCTCTTATTCTCTCAGAAATGCCTGAATAATTATTGGCACTCAGATTTTCACTCCTTTTAACTTTTTCTCAGTGGTAGAACATTCAGCTTCCTGTCATTCATTACATTAACAGTCATAACAACATAAGAAAGAAGGAACACTGCAGGAGGACTACTGGCCCCTACTAGACAGGTCCTTCTCAAACCCAAACCCACTCACAAAAATATTTGCCCAACCCAATTTTCAATGCTACCCAAGGAATAAACTTTGATAACCCTATTTTTTTAAGCAGCTAAGAATCGTTAACATTTGTACTGCATTTAAATATATTTAAAGAAATCCAAATTCCTTCTTCTTTTAAGTAAAATATAGTAATTGTTACAGAAAAGTGATAGCTAGCCCTGCCTTTCAATATTTTGTCGATGAGCTATACAAATTAGTTTTAATAGTTATATATATGAATTAATTATCTTTTGAGTTAGTTTGATCTTAGGAAACAAACATTATATGAATATGAACTATACATATATAGCAAATGTGAGTAGAATCTGAGAAGTGGTACCACATATCACATCACAGTGGGCACCTGTGACAAGCGGAGTCCCACAGGGGTCAGTCCTGGGGCCAGTGCTATTCTTGGTATGTGTGAACAACATGACGGAAGGGATAGACTCAGAAGTGTCCCTGTTTGCAGATGATGTAAAGTTAATGAGGAGAATTAAATCAAATGCAGACCACACAGGTTTACAAAGAGACCTGGACAGGCTGGATACATGGTCCAGCAACTGGCTCCTAGAATTTAACCCCATCAAATGCAAAGTCATGAAGATCGGAGGAGGGCAAAGAAGACCGCAGACAGAGTATAGGCTAGGAGGCCAAAGACTGCAAACCTCACTCAAGGAGAAAGATCTAGGAGTAAGTATAATACCGAGTACATCACCAGAAGCACACATTAACCAGATAACTGCTGCTGCATATGGGCGCATGGCAAACCTGAGAATAGCGTTCCGGTACCTCAGTAAGGAATCGTCCAAGACTTTATACACTGTTTACATCAGGCCCATACTGGAGTACACAGCACCAGTTTGGAAGCAACACCAATCCCACATAAGAACATAGAACACTGCAGAAGGTCTACTCACAACTTGTCCAATACCCCTGCCAAGCTACCCAAGACTCTATAACTCCACCCGGTAGATCATCAGATACAGCATTCTCCACCTGACCTCAACATTCTGAACATGACTATAAATACTCCCGTACCTTCCACCCCAGGTAGATCTGTGTGTGACTTGAAAAAGCCCACTGTGTGGGTGAAACGTAGTCAATAAAGGATCACATTATACTGCATGTGTGTTTATATTTCCACACACACACACACACACACACACACACACAGGAGCTGAGTCTCGACCCCTGCAACCACAATTAGGTGAGTACACACACACACACACACACACACACACACACACACACACACACACACACACACACACACACACACACAGTCTAGTAGCAACCGGTGAAGAGGCGGGGCCAGGAGCTAGGACTCGACCCCTGCAACCACAAATAGGTGAGTACACACACACACACACACACACACACACACACACACACTTGGAAGTTGGAAGTTGAAGACTCAGATGAACCACAGGGATGTTAGGAAGTATTTCTTCAATCACAGAGTTGTCAGGGATTGGAATAGTCTGGGAAGTAATGTAGTGGAGGCAGGATCCATACATAGCTTTAAGAAGAGGTATGATAAAGCTCATGGAGCAGGAAGAGTGACTGAGTAGTGGACAGTGAAGAGGAGCTGTGACTCGACCCCTGCAACCACAACTAGGTGAGTAACACACACACACACACACTCAAAACACTCAACACACACACACATGTGCGCACACACACACACACACACACACACACACACACACACACACACACACACACACACACACACACACACACACAACACTCAACACTCACATGCAAACACACACACACACACACTCAACACTCGCATGCACACACTCAAAACACACACACACACACACACTGCAATGGATCAGAGAATACCTAACAGGGAGGCAACAGCGAGTCATGGTACGTGATGAGGTATCACAGTGGGCGCCAGTGATGAGCGGGGTCCCACAGGGGTCACTCCTGGGACCAGTGCTATTCTTGGTATATGTGAACGACATGATGGAAGGGATAGACTAAGAAGTGTCCCTGTTTGCAGATGACGTGAAGTTAATGAGGAGAATTAAATCAGACACGGACCAGACAGGTCTACAAAGAGACCTGGACAGGCTGGATGTGTGGTCCTGAAACTGGCTCCTAGAATTTAACCCTGCCAAATGCCAAGTCATGAAGATCGGAGGAGGGCAAAGAAGACTGCAGACAGAGTATAGGCTAGGTGGCCAAAGGCTGCAAACCTCACTCAAGGAGAAAGACCTAGGAGTGAGTATAATACCGAGTACATCACCAGAAGCACACATTAACCGGATAACTGCTGCGGCATATGGGCGCTTGGCAAACCTGAGAATAGTGCTCCGGTACCTCAGTAAGGAATCGTTCAAGACTTTATACACTGTGTACGTCAGGCCCATACTGGAGTACACAGCACCAGTTTGGAACCCCCACCTCGTCAAACACGTCAAGAAATTAGAGAAAGTGCAAAGGTTTGCAACAAGGCTAGTTCCAGAGCTAAGGGGAATGTCCTATGAAGAAAGGTTAAGGGAAATCGGTCTGACAACACTGGAGGACAGGAGGGTCAGGGGAGACATAATGACATACAAAATACTGCATGGAATAGACAAGGTGGACAGAGACAGGATGTTCCAGAGATGGGACACAGAAACAAGGGGTCACAATTGGAGGCTGAAGACTCAGATGAGTCAAAGGGATGTTAGGAAGTGGAATAGTCTGGCAAGCGATGTAGTGGAGGCAGGAACTATACATAGTTTTAAGACGAGGTATGTTAAAGCTCACGGAGCAGGGGGAGAGAGGACCTAGTAGCGGTCGGTGAAGAGGCGGGGCCAGGAGCTGAGTCTCGACCCCTGCAACCACAATTAGGTGAGTACACACTCGAGACACACACACACCACACACACCACACACACACACCACACACACACACCACACACACCACACATGCCACACACACCACACACACACACCACACACACACACCACACACACACACCACACACACACACCACACACACACACCACACACACACACCACACACACACACCACACACACCACACCACACACACACACACACACACAAACCCCACACACACACACACCACACACACACACCACACACACACACACACACACCACACACACCACACACACCACACACACACACACACACACACCACACACACACACACACACACACACACACACACACACACACACACACTCACACTGCACAACACAATACATACATATAGTATAATAATTTTATGAAGACTGGGATACTCTAGTTTGTTGCCTTTGGTAAGCTTCAGAGTTGTGGTCTAACAGTTCCTTAAGAGGCAGTGATGGCTGTCATGTATTTTGATGGAGATAACAGTGGTAAGTAATTGACAGCTTTTTGCACTCTTCACACCACCAATATACTTTAAGACATTTTAGTTATTTTGTTTTTTGAAGTATAATGCTTTTTTTTTTTTTTTGAGAGGCTTTTTTTTTGCATGATAATAATCTTTAAATGTGAAGTCTTATTAATTTGGTATTTGTTTTTTTGTTTTCGTTTTTTTGGTAAAGCTTAAAAAAATGGCAAAAGCTGTTGAAGTATTGCATATTTTCTAAAATCGATTCAAATCTTTCGGTACAAATACCAGGTATGGAAGCTGCCCATATTTTGGTAAATTATTACTTATGGATTCTGTAATACCTGTACTGTACAAGAATAATAATACATATGTTAAAGTAATTTTGAGTACATAATTTTTATGTGTGAATTTTTTGTGTAGAATAGCACATAATATACAGTGTTATATTTCAAATAATTTAGGCAATTATTTTTAATTATTTCACAAAGAGCTTACTGACAAAAAAAAAAAAAGTGATAATTAAAATATAAAGGTACTACATTAATTATATTTCTGTTGGATAAAATCTTTCATGACACTAATTATGCAACTGATGAATGCTGATAAGGCACAAAGCATTCCTCATTTCCTAAATATAAAAAGAAGGTGCTGAATTCTGTCATTTGGTGAAAGTTTGGATTTACTGATGGATACTTTCAATTTCAGCGCCATCGTAAGGACGTCAGCAATTTTGACAAGCAGTTCACTTCCGAGCGCACTGAACTGACTCCCACTGATAAACTCTTTATGATGAACCTCGACCAGACTGAATTCAATGGTTTCTCTTATCTCAACCCAGAGTACATACAACATGTGTAGAATCTGAACAGATATATGTACTGTCATGTTTGTACTCATTTTTATCAGGTCAGTTGCACTTGTTACTGGACATGCATCATAACTATTACTGTTCCACATAACATGTTTAAATCTAATTTTGTTGCTACCTACAGTATCCTCATTGGCCATTTTCTGAAAAAATTATCTTGTGCTGCATCTTACTACACTGTCATTTTCAGTGCCTAGAATATTTACATTAAGAGGAATGTGTTCCTCAGGCTATCTTGAATTGTTTTATATTAAATTCAGTCCATATTATACAAGTGGCTTAATGCAGTATAAATTATTATTGTATTAGTAACTCTGGGTGTGCATCCTGCCTGCTAGTCAGACAGTATTCAACCAAAAATTACATTATTTTTTTTAAATAATTGAACATGTAAATTAGTTTTTTATTACAACTTCCTTTTGTGCTTTGATCAAACAACCTTGGTGTGCTAGACAGAGCAACATGTTCTTATAACAGTATTATGAATGAAAGAGGTTTTGTAGTTGTATTATGGCATAGCAAACAGTTGGTAAAAAGGTATATAGAGCAAAAGAATTCCTTTATTAATATGACCTTTCACCTACATGAGACTTTATCAATTAATAAAGACTTGTGTAGTTTAAACATCATACTGCTAAAGGTCTCCTTTTGTTGCATGTGTCTTTTTATTGAAAGAGGTTTTACCTATTCAGGTTTCCCTTGCTTTATGTGAATTCTCTATTATGCAATCTCCAGTTTCTTTTGATATTTCTGTATGTGTAATTTACAGTCATTGTAAGTGAAGAATGAATTAAGTGTTGTTGGTCTGATTTGAGTTCTGTTCAACTGCCATGGGTCAAATGTGTCTACCACATAAAGCCAGGGACATCTTTAGATGGACTTAATTTTCTTTTTTGCATGTGAAATGTCTGTAAGCAGGATTTATCAGCGAATTTTAGCCACTTCCTGACAAAGGAAGTGGCTAAAATTTATAAATACAGTACAATCTCAGTCATCTGGAATTTTTATGGCAAAGTAATTTCCAGAAAATAATAACACAATAATATTAATAATTATAATAATTATACAGTGGACCTCCGGTTAACGATATTTTTTCACTCCAGAAGTATGTTCAGGTGCCAGTACTGACCGAATTTGTTCCCATAAGAAATATTGTGAAGTAGATTAGTCCATTTCAGACCCCCAAACATACACGTACAAACGCACTTACATAAATACACTTACATAATTGGTCACATTCGGAGGTAATCGTTATGTGGGGGTCCACTGTACTATCATTTCATTATTCATAAATATAGTACAATATGTTAAAAGTGCAAAGTATATACAGTATTTTGGGTAAACTTGTGCTTTAAAAGTGAGAGATTAAAGATTATTTAATAGTGATATTAAATGGTCAGGTTAGAAATGACTAGACTATGCAACCTGTACTTGTTTTACCCATAATTTAAATTTAGTAAATATGTTGCAATTTTTCCATTTATTTTGACTTACAAAAGTGTAATTGTGTGCTGAATTAATATGAACCACACAGGTTGTGGTTCATATTGATAGGGTTGTGTACACATGTGTACATTCTTACACCATGCACTTTCAAACATCCCACAAATGCTCTTTTTAAATAGTGTAATATAATGAGCACTTATTAGAACTAATTTATACTTTGGAGGTACAGTACATTAATCATTAACAATAAAAATGATTAGTAACCAAAGATGAGTTACTGATATAGATTATTTTTTTAAATTTCAGCCAAGTATCAGATGGTATGATGCAACTTAGAGCGCTGTATGACCCTGGTGGTTTAGCGCTTAGTTTTGATTATAATAATAATGTGATACAAGTTGTTAGTTTATTGAGGTATACACAAATACAGTTACATAGATTATCACACATAGCAGCTATGTGTAGAGAACCTAGGATAACCTTAAAAAAGTCAGTGACTTATTTCCATTGCCATCAGCACAATATTCAAACTGCCTTTGCACTAGCTGAGCTAGGACTGCGTAGTACATAGTGCTTACTAGTCTTTACCAACTTAGGCAGTAGAGAAGATTAAGGATGGAGACAATATGCTTTCCATTCTCTCTTTTTAAAAAAGCTTGTAGTGCTGTGCATGTCCTAAATTATATTATCTTGCTCTTCTGCTACTATCATTCCATTGCACTGTTCTATATTTATAAGGTTAATGCCTTATTAATCATTTGGCATAAAATTTTAGCAGTTTTTCAAATTGTTTCACACACTGTTGAAATATATTAACATTAAAACTCACACAGGTTTTGCAATGACTGGTCCTTACTTAACATGTGCAGAATTTCCACTTTCTGCATAAGGGTTACCATAATTCAGAGTTAACCTCACACTTTAGAGAGGAAACTTTAGACATTTCTGTATGTCCAGGATCATTATAAAGTTGCAACTGAGGAAATTGAGAGAGAACCATAAAACAGGTCAGTAAAGAGGGAAGGCAGGGATGAAAATACCAGAAAACAGCTCATTAAGTGGTCAGTAGTAGTAGTAGTAAGTTAAGTGAAATAATTTACATCCAGAAAAAATGGAATAGCTGGTTAGCATAATGGGCTTTCTCTTTGTATTTCCAGTACTAGCATGTTCATTACTTAGAGAACATATTTTTATGCTATTATAAGCATAGAAATAATTGATTATAGTAATGGCAGCTCCCAGAAATGCCCATTTTCATTTTTACTAAAAAATAAATTGTTTCCTTTAAATTTTATTCTTAGAAACAAGGTTTTTGGATTCTTCCATTGTATAAGAGCTTCCAGAGTGCTGTATAGAATTCCAGATTATCGAGATTGTACTGTATTACATTTTTATAAATATCATTGTGTTAAAAATTATGGGTTTCCCATTAAAGTCGAACACCAAAAATCCAGAGGCTGTAACTCTCTTGAGCTTATGGTTAACAAGTGAAGAACACTGGCCAACCTGTCTGTTTCATTAGAAAACCTTTGGTGAAGGGAGGTATAATGGAACCAAAGTTTTATCACTGCAAGCCCAGGGCACTGGTGTTGATCCATGCTATATCATCTAAACACAGTTACTTGTTAAGAATTTTATAGATGCAGCACAGACTTTCTTTCCTGTTACAATAAAGATGTGTAAGTAATGCTACACCTCATTTTTTCACTCTGGTGACTATAAATTAAATATAAGGTCAAAAGATGTTAGAAAGTGTCTAGTGCAGATATAAAAGTGTCAGAAAATCACATGACTCAGGAACACAGAAGAGAAACATGCTATAGGTATCTATATAGCAGAAAGTAACATTACTACAGAAACTTGATTATGGAGGAAACTTTTCTAATCTCTAGACAGACTGAGGCTGGACATTATCAATTTATCATTTGAAAAACAGCAAGAGAAACTTTTTATTTTTTTCCAACAAACTGGCCATATCCTACAGAGGCAGGGGTAACCTAAAACAAAAAAATAGAAACACTTTCACCGTCATTCACACTATCACTGTCTATAGGCAAGTTTTTTAAGCCATTACTTAAGCTCAAAATGGTGTGACTATTTTCAAAGTTGGTTTTCCATTTTTAAAAATCACCAAGGCATTCATCTCCTCAGAGTGCCTACAAAACCGTTGTTTTCCGTATACGACTCTGCAAGACAGTGTGGAAAAATTTGCTTGTTTGCTCACAGAACATGTAACCTCTAAACATATATAAAATGCAGGTGTAACAGGAATATTTTGGAGAGATTTGCCAAAGCAATTTAATGCTTGTAGATATGGAAAAAACAGCACCTTGAATGAATTTTGGTTTGCTAAGTACAAAGAAAGTCACTAACATGCCAGGGCATTTCAGGCAGGCTAATCCTAGTACACAGTAACTACTTAAAACTAGACAAGATAATAGTGGTTAACTTGATTACAATCCTATTTAATCTAATATTAATGTGAGGTAGTCAGGGTGGAGGTTTATAAGAATAGTAATCTTGTAGTTGCACATAAAAAAAATATTACAATTAATGGTTCAGGTAGTAATATTTCATGGATTGGCAGATATTTAATAACCTAGAGGTCACATAATATAACTAATTAGAAGTTGAACCCAAGGAGGTTAATTGTCTTAGTATTTGCTAATAACTGCAAGCACATACAAATATAAATATTTCCTTGTAGAAAAAATTCTCTAAGAATTCAAAGGTGTCATTGGAGAAGTGTGTATACCATCTGTTACAGGTGATATAATAAACTGTATAGATACTAAACTGTTTATTACAAAGTAGGAAGTAGGGCAGATGTATGGGCTATAGGAAATGATAATCAGAGCTAATTCTATTTCACATTTGAATTTGAAGGTACAAACTACAGCAACAGTATCAGAGGGCAGAGAGAGAGGCAATTCTGTGAAGCAGATGATACTAGTATCATAGTTAAATTATTTTCATGGGGAGGTACTATACCCATAAGGGTTGTACAGTTCCTTGGAAATAGGAGGCAATCAATCAGGTTTGGCTCAAGGTTCAGTTCTCTTATTGTCAAGGCACCTCCCTTGAAGACTGTAACTATTTATGGTTTCAAAATGAGTATTTGGTAGCCTCTTATAATACTTAGTCAATCTCCAGTACTATTACAGAAAACTGAAAAGCAAGAATTGGAACATTTGATAAGAAAAGCAATATTAGTTGACCAGTTTTGTGCAGTACTCTGCATCTTTACCTTGATTATTATTACTAAATAATCATGGAAAAACACAAAACCCATATAGGTCATATGGTGCCAGGGGATTGGAAGATAATTCAATTTAGTCCAGGGGGATGGGAGAGTAGGTTCAGTCCCCTTGATGATCTTTATATTTTAGTCTCCTCTGGTTTTATTGACAGATGCTACAATTTTCCCATCTATCTCTTTAGTTACCATGACTACTACTACTCCAGATGATGCTTAAATCCACAAACCCTGTAAATACCTGAAGAGTTTGAAGAGCACATTTAAACCATTTTCTCTGGTACAGTTTTATAAAAATTTATGTACTGTACTAGTTTGCTGTATTTAACAAAGATTCTCATTATCAATGAAAATTTTAATACTGTATAATTAAGAGCTCCTGGTTCTTATGGCTTCATGTTTTTGGTGTTCGACTGTACCTCAATCTTGCAACAGACTCTGAATGCATATGAATATTTGAAAATTCTCATGGAGTATTTTATTGCTGTTTACATCCTCCTTAACAGTATGTTTAGTTGATTTTTGCCAAATACATGTAACTTCAGAAACTGAAAGGTGTAAATGAGGATGGTTATCCTAAAGCTCACCAGCTTACCACAAATCAAACATCAGTGCACTCTGTTGGATTTGGCCAAGCCATGGCTTGGGAACTGCATGTTACTGATTTGCCTAGTCAATGCAGCTCTATAAGACAGTGTTAAGAGATAGTAATCCTGGATATTATCTCACAAGCCACAGTGAATAAGTAAACGAGTTAGACCAAGCTATGGCTTGGCCCTATCTGCTCTCTATAAACCAAAATGAATTTAGACACACATGATAATCAAAACTTTTGCCTCCTTGCATACTGCAATAATAACATAATCCATAGAAATATAATGGATGTATTCTTAAGTTTAATATTTTCACCATTTAGAATTTTTGCTTTTCCATAAGCTTAGATGTCTTCTTAAATTGGATAAACAGTAAAGAATGGGATTTAAATTTAATTTTCTAAATACGTAATTCAAGCAATATAAATTGTGTATAACACAATGGTCAATAAAGGTAAGTTTTGGCTTTCAGTATGGGTTAGCAAGTCTTAACAATTTAGAAAACCACTTTTATACTTATATTTGATCTTTATATTATGGAATGAATAAGTCATGTAGTAAAGAAGATTTTTACATTAGTATCTATATTTTATGAAACTTCTTTTCCTCAATATGTGCAATAAAAAGAAAAGTATTGTGTGTGCTAATGTTCTATAAGAGATTTTTACAAGTGTTGTGAAATAGTATTAATTGTCAATAATGAAAGATCCCTGAAAATCTCTAGTCATTAAGTGTAGTGTACTATATGTATTACTAGACTATGGCCACCTTACGATACAGTATTTTTTGACAGTTGTAGTTCATAAGAAAGTGTATTACTGAATATTCTATTCTGTTATCATCATAGGGATCATACGCTATCCGGAAAAAGAGAGGTAATCACCTCGGGTAACAGGCAGGAAGAGAACCCATAGCCAGCCAGTCATGATTTTTGCAAGGGGTAATGGGGTTTGATCCAAGGAGGGAGAGGATGACTCCTATTACTAGATGTTCTGATGGTGCCTTTATATTACCAGTATAACTAATTTGTAGTTAATTATTGATCATTTAGGTTAGTTCATAAGAGATTCTTACCAAAATTCAAAGCATGCATGTTAGACTTATTGAATGATTGTAAGAATGTTTCTTAGTGATATTTTTATGACTTTCAATACTATTACTCCACATTACTAAATAATGTTGACAAATTATACAGTACTGTGCTTTTATATTTAAGATATAAAAGATTTATACATATGTATACAAGCAGAAGATTTATACACAAGCATATTTATACACACACAAAATATAGTAGTGTACACACTATTTACACACATACAAGTAAAAGATCTATGCATGTACAAGTAATAGATTCACACACAGAAGCAGAACGCTTGTAAACATGCAAGCATAATATTTACACACGAAAGCAAAGCAAAACATCCAATAAATTAGCACTCAAATTTGCAAGTATGAATCCAACCACACTTGAGCTTTTAGCCCTCCTCATGTCATCATTGTAAGTTATGGAAGACTGTTCTTAACAGTTGGTATATATTCATTACACTGGAAATACTCGTGGTCCTTTGGAAAGGCACCTGTTGCACTCTGCAAGGGTTGCCAAGTCGGGCTGACTGCCCAAGATCTTTTCGTAGATTGCTATTTATCAGAGAGCACATCACCCTTATTTTCATTTTCTTGCCGTGCTTATGCTATCTCTTGTCCTATCTAGAAGTACAGTACTGTGCCATTTTTTATGCAGATTCTGTCAGTAGCTATTTATCAACAGTTGATCTAAACACCAACTTTGAATACTTCATCCCTGCACTCTGCTTTTCTTTCTAATTGTTTTCCTATATGTATTTTCCACAGCTCACATTCTTCAGGTTTATGATCCCGTCCACCGTGCAATACTGAATGACCTCCATGGGCTTAATGCTTTTCACTGACATTATTTCTGTATCATAACTAATTGCACTTTGTGATGAATGAACAAAAGCCTCAGAAACTCATATACACTCTTTTAGACTAGCAATAACTTTACAATAGAGCCATCTTATATTTTAGTGGCCCATTAACACTTGCTGTAAGGTCTTGCATAAAATCTTACTTTCATAGGGAAGGGGGTAAAATACTGAAGCTGGGGCTAAGCTTTAAAATCAGTTTATACCAAAGAAAAAATTTAATATATGGAGGTTATCTTCCTCTGACAGTTGTCAATTGTTGTTGTTGTTATTAATTATATTAATATTATTATGGCTAAGCACTAATTTTGTAGGGGTCATACAGCACTTGCAAAATAAAAGCTAATTAAGTAGATCCAGAGAAAGCTAGCTGATATTACTTTTTTTTTTTTTGTTGCACTTACATTCTACATTATTTAATTTCTGAAACTGTTTTGTTCATACCACCTGACAAACAAGATCATTATTCTTATATTTATGGGGAGGTGCTGACCTAGGGCAGGGGTGGGGAACCTGCACCCTTAAGGCCACACGTGGCCTTCTAGGGCATTAAGTGCAGCCTTCTGAATGAATTATTTTTTCTTGAAGTTATTATATAATTAACTTTTTACAAAATAACAAACATTTTGCAGTATATCTTAATCAAAATTTCTTGAATGTGGCCTTATTAGATTACAGCTAACTTTAATGCAGCTTTCAAACATAAAAATGTTCCCCATCCCTGCTCTTGGGGGGGGGGGGGTCATACAGCACGTGGGATGTGGGAGAGGGTGATTATAATGAGGTCTGATATGAGAAAGGAAACAGCTTCAATTCCCTGGAGCAAGTCTCTCTCACTTGAAGGGAAACCCAAGTATAATGTTTGACATGTCTTTACCTGCTGTATGTAGTGATGTGGCTCAATGTTTGCTCTCTTATTCATTACAAAAGAGGAAATGTTATGTTAGTTTTCTATCAAAATTTTATTTGGCTTTATAATCTCAGAGGGTTAGTAACTCAAGGAAACCAATCACTATGGTTCATTTCCAGTAGGGTTCATTTTGAGTTTTTCCCTCAGGCAAGACCCACAACACTTGACTCGCTCCTAGGTATCTATTTACTACTAGGTAACGGGTAGGTGTTATATAATTTAGTACTAGACATTGTTCTGGAGGCAATGACACTAAAATTATATTTAATATTTGTTTTAAATCCTAAATGTAATGATAATATTCAACTTTAGGATCATGAAAAAATAAAAGTAGCTGGAAATAATAATAAGCCAGTCTACTAATTGGTGAAAATTTGGAAAAAGCCGAGCCACAAGAGTACTGCATTTCTCTCGATTGGCAGATGAGAACCAAGCCTATACTACCTTTTGCATTGGAAAGTACTATATGTACTTCCATAGCCCTTGTGGCTTAGCGCTTCTTTTTGATTATAATAATAATAATAATATACGTACGTACTTCCATATTTCATTATTCAGATTAATACACTTTCTTATGATTCATATAAAAAATAGTTTAGAGTAGTAGGCCTCAAAGATGATAATGATTACAGTATACATACTTTTAAAAATAATTCCAACTAAACCTTCAGAACTTAGTTATTCCATTTCATAAGTGTAATTGTATTAATAACTAGAATAAAAGGCTTGTGTATATACATGTATGTGTCCCACAGTTTGTTCCATTTCTATAGAAAAGACTTTTTGTATTAGTTACAGTAGGAAAGGTCAACTGATGGAGGCATGAACAAGTGTGACTGTATACATACGTGTCTTGTTTGAGTTCCTTGGTTGTTTAATATTTGAAGTGAAGAAAGGCACACATTGACATGCAGTTCTAATACTAGACATTTATTAATAAAAATACAGCACACTTCAAGTACTGTATCTTGATATCAGACATTGTTATTTTGAAAAAAATATTCAAATAAGTATCATTTTTCTATTCTAAGATTAATGCAGTATAAAATTTATTAAATAATTTCAATAATATATGGGAATCAATAATTTTACTATAAATCTGCTTAATTTTATTAAATATATTTAAATACACTGTTTGACAAAGCAACATATTTCATGAATATATAATTTTGTTGCAAAGAATTTATCTAATTTGAATTCATACACTCGTAGATTTCTTAAGTATTTGTACTATATTAGAGTCTTCAATAAAGGTACTACGTCCATGGAAAGTCTCTCAAACATCTTGTAGTGTCTGGTTTCATGAGCTTGTATTATCTTGCTTTATGAGCTTATCCTGCACCATGAGCTTGTATCAAACTTATACTGCATTATCTTATCTGATGTACCTATATTGTTTTCCTTCATAAGCTTGTATTACCTTTATTTTTTTTTTATCTTACCTCATGAGCTTGTATCATCTTATGTTATCTTTATGAGCTTGTATTATCTTATGTTATCTTTATGAGCTTGTATTATCTTATCTTACCTCATGAGCTTGTATTATCTTGCTTCATGCCTCTTAAGAAAACTATAGTTTAATGTTCAGCTGCATGTTGTTTTTATACCATCACTCAAATGATGAAATTATTGTAAGCAAAATTTGCTGAAATAGTGTGTGTTGAGCAGTATAGGGATCAGCATTTTCCTCAATATTCGTTTTGCAGAGCATAGAAAACTTAAGTTTGTGCTATGTATAGAAAAGTTAAGTTCTGCTGTATCTCAAGTTTTACAAGACCAATTGCAGCCATCACATATATTTTAGATTGTCTTAAACCAATAAGAGTAAGAATTATCATTCCATCTCCCTAGACTGCCAATTATCCACACAGTCATATGTATGTATCAATGGTGTATACTTTACAAGAGTTGCATTATATCTGTTGGGTAAATGGACACAGATGCAACTAATGTGACATTTTATTGTGGCAATGTTTCACTCTCCAGGAGTTTTGTCAAGCTTGACAAAGCTCCTGGAGAACAAAACATTGCCACAATAAAATGCCACATTAGTTGCATCTGTGTCCATTTCTCTAACATTCTGTCGGTAATTCTACCATTATTGAATTATATCTGTTTATGGATTTGGTTACACTTGTTTTAAAAGAGGGAGAAGCGTAATTACACAATCTAATGTTGTAGGTAGTGTGGGATCTAGAATTTAATCTCTGTGGCACACTGTACAAGCATACTTGAAGCAGTGATTATCACGTAGGGATGAAAGTAGTGCCCATTGTGGTAACTATTGCTTGTCAGATATGTGACTGGAAGGGTTTTACATTATCTTGTTGCAAATAATCAAAGGAAAATTAACCAGCATAGACAATGCTATATAAAAATATATATCTGAATATGAAAAATAATTTATAAGCTATTTTAAGAGTTTATGAATATTTCTTTCAAAGGACAGTTTAATGTAACTAATATTTTATCTTGGTCATAGCCCTTTCATTCATGGTCTTAAGAATGCTGTAGACGTTGAATGCAGACCATCACATATGATACATGAATGTCATGCCATATAGAGAGATCCTAAAGTGCTTCCCACACTCATTTTCTAGTCCCCCTTGTGTGTACAGTTTTGTCAACTTGACACCAGAAATGGTATGAAATTTCATTACTTTAAAAAAAAAAAAATCTTAGTTAATTGTAAAGGATTCATTAGCTAAGGAAAATATTAATTCAAGACAGTTTGTATCTGATTATTTTTACTTACAATATGTGCAAAGACTACTACATTATTTGCAAATATTAATATGCATGCCTTTGCTCTGTCCCAAAATATAAGAATTAGCATTTGCAGTGGGCAAGGGTAAACTCTTTTGCAATCTGGTGTCTGGTTGGTCTTCTCTTGTAGAGCATAGTTATGCCTTGTTGCAGTGTTGAACATAAATCAGGTCTTGTGTTCTGTAAAATAGCATAAAGTGAATTTTAGGTCCTGTTATAATCAATAATTGTTTTAGGTATGGGCTTTGAATATTTTTGTAACCATAATGGCACTTAAGTTAATAAAAAAAAAAAACTAATGGGCCTTGTGGAGTAAGAAGTACAGCTTATATAAATCAAAAACTATAAATTTAAACTCCAAACATGCTGCATCTAAGTACATTAAGTTTTAAAGTAGGCATGCTTTTTAGGGGTCCCCATTATAACATTATGTATATAAATAGGTAGGTGTTTAAGCAGTAGACTGTCACTTGTTGCATTGTGATTTCAAGTATTGTCAGTGACAGTGTTTGACCATTCCAATATTTTGGATAAGACAGCCATAAATGTGTGTTCTCTCACTGTTATCCAGAGTAATTTCTGAATATCAATTTCTATATGTGCTATAAAAATAATAATACAGAGTAGTCAGTCTCATATGTACCTTCTGCCTTTTATATTCTAATGGATACAATTTATCCTCTCGATATATTACATTTAACATAGTAATGCTGGATTAAGTTTGATGAGATTAGGCCATTTAAAATGGTATTGTTCATTAATCAGTAAAATAATTTCTGCCTTGATGCTTCAGCAAGGTAGTGTAACATGTATGAATTATATTCTTGAAATCTTCAGGGTCCCATTTGTAGTGCAGTGTGATGTACATGTAGTCCTGTTATATGATTTCCAATAAGTTTTGGTAGCTCTTTAATTTTCTTGTACATTTGGTGAATTTCATTTACTTGTATAAATATTATGAACAATACTAGCTTTAACACAAAATTATCTTGATCCATTTGGTATACTGTTAAAATATTAGACACACATTGTGGAACAAGCCTTTGCTGGGATACACTTTGCTATGTTAAAGCTATATAAGCTAGAACTAAAGAAGTTCTAATAGGGCATAAAGCCATCCCAATAAAAGCTTTGTCTGCTTTTTTTTTTTTTTAATGAAATTATCCAATAGGCTTTTGTGTGAAAATGAGAAATGTACAGGAAACCTGTGATTTTGGAATGTATCTCAGACCGAACCTAATTACCCCCCAATCTCCCCTCCCCTATCCCATCCTCCCCATCCTCCCCTTTTTCCTTTCCTCCTCCTCCTCCCCACTCCTCCCTTTTGCCCTTCCTCTTTTTGTCCTTTGGGATTTCTCCCACAGGCGCGCTAGTTCCTAGGTAGGAGAAAGGACACCGGGGTCCATCCCATTCCGTTGAGGTTTCTTGGCGGTGGCGTAGTTTGCCGTGGAATCTGGATTGCCTAGGGATGTCCCGATCCCTCTCCGGTATCCCGGAGTAGCTTTGGGTGTCTTTTGGGCGACGGGTGTAGCTCTGGAAGCCACCTTTCGGATTCCGGGGGTGGTGGCTGAAGGAGGTATGCTTTGTGGCGGATATCCGGCCGCCCTCTCTTTTGTCCACCGAGGTAGCTCGGCAGATTGAGGTTGCTATCCCAGATTGCTGGTTTACTGGCATGAAGGGTAGGGTATGGCACGGGTTCCATGCTGCATCTGCGCTACTAGCGGTGTCGAGTCCTCTTGGGCGCGGAGGGAGATTTCTGGCCCTTTCATCCCTCCTAGGAACTATCCCTCCCCGGTCCCCCCTTTTTTTTTCTTTTTTTTATTTTTATTTTCTTTTCTTCTTTCTTTTTTTTTCTTAAAAACAAAAAGAAAGAAGTAACCTAACCATGGCAGCCCTAGTCCATGAACCTGGTACCCCCGGGCCCCTTCTTGATACCGCACCCCGTTCTGACCCCGCCTCGTCTTTGGACCACTCTTCAGACATTCCTCATGCCTCTGTACCTATTGCCGGTGCTGTTTTCCTCACCCGCTTCAGGTACTGAGGCCTCGACTGACTCCTTCGATTTATCAGACCTTCGCTCTCCTCTGACTATGCTTCCGGCCTCTCCCTCTACGGTGCGGCAATTTTCAAATCGCCGACCCGTTCCACGTCGGACCAACTCTGGTCCCACGCCTAAACGTCAACGACAATTACCTGCTGATGATACTTCTCCACCTTCACCTTCTCGTTCTTCTCAGAAACGATCGACACGTCCTTCACTACCTTTCCACGCTCAGTTTCAGACTGAACAGTGGACTAAATTCTTCACTTTAACGACCAACTTCCTCTACTGCCTATCTTTCTGACCATAGTATTGGCAAGGCACTCCTACGCCATGTTGGTAAAGATATTTCTTTTCATGCTCTTAAGAGCGGTACGCGCATCATTACCGTACAGAATGCTACCCAGGCTCGTGAGCTCTCTCGTCTTACCCATATAGATACTGTTCCTGTCACCCTTGAAAAACATCATTCCCTCAATTCTTGTAGTGGTACCGTTATTCTGCCCCATACCATAGTTCAACAAAATTTCCAGACATGTGGCACCGACATTCTAGAACAGCTGGAA